CACACACACACACATATATATATATATATATATATATATATATATATATATATATATGATTGTTTATGAATCTTACATAATAAAATTTATTCTATCTGAATAAATTGTAAAAGAGGATAGATTTTAAATTTCAAAATCAAGATATTTGTCTATGATCGAATTGCATGAAAAATCACTTTTGTTTTAATATATATTCATATATAGATAGATTATTATGATTTTTCTTTATTAATAGTAGTCAATAACGTGTACTCAAAAAATAATAAATAAGTCAATAACATACGTATTATCAGGGTTGCTATCTTTTTTTCGTGCGTGCTTTCTTGTTTGGCTTGTTCTTATTCGATCTTCTTCCATTCTTTGAACTAGCGTTGTTTGTCGTGCAGTTCTCTCGCATATTCAAGGTATTTTTCTTCCCTTTTTTTATTGTAGTTTTTACACCGATTGAAAACTCTAAAATTAGTGGAGTTGAAGGAGAGATTATAAAGGCATATGATTGGAGAAATGGTTGCGAGAGGCATATGATTGGAGAGATGGTTGCGAGCGTGCGACGTGTGTGCGAATTGAATTGGTTGACTTGTTGGGGTAGTGGATTAGAATTCAATTTACTTCAATCGGATTCGATTCAACTTTGTAGTTCATATTTCCTTCATATTAATAGATAAGTTTTCTATATTTTATTGATGTTTTCAATTGCTTATTGTTTGTTATGGTTTCTTCCATTAATTTCATATTGTGCCTTTACCTAACCTTTTACTCGTAATTTTGTGTAGCGAATTGAATTTTGGATTTAGTTTAATACTTGTTATCAATGCTTGAATATATTGACTTTCTTTAAGGAAGCAATGTTAGTACTCATTAGGGTTGTGATATGTGATAGTTGAATTGTTTGGTATTGTGTATGATTAAGGCATGATTATATTATTTGGAATTGTATTGTTGGTATAAGAATACGGGACAAGCAACACCACACATACTCTTATTCTTGCTATGAGATTAGAAACATATGAAAAACATGTTTACATGTTATGTTCTTGATTGTGCTCAATAGGACTTGAATTAGCATAATTATGTGATCCAAATTTAATTAATTGATCAAAGTAACTTTTGGATGATTTGATGCATCTCTCATAATCCAAGTTGAGTTTATGTTCTCCAATCTCAAGCACCTTTTAGCATTATAACAAAGATTGACTCATTTGACTGGGTCTAGATCACCACTTTACTATTGAATTACTTGTTATTTGCTTATTTGTCGACTTATTTGCTTGTTTATTACTTATTTACTTCAACCATCACTAGTTTCTTAGAGAACCTGCATATCTAGTGATTAACAATATTCTGTACATATAAACTATTATTCATCGAGAGCGCTAACTCATGAAATATTCAGTTAGCTTGTCACAGTCACACATTTGCATACATTAAGCTTTATGCACAAAATCGTTAATTATAATTATCTAATTATTTATCTTTTAGAAGAAGCAAATAACATGATCTTGATTAAAGGTTTTTTTTTTTTTTTTTTTTTTTTTTTTGGTAATGCAACAAGCAGTAAATATGTCAGACTATTTGTCCAACGACTTATGGATGGAAATCTTTGTCAAACTCCCAATCAAGTCCATCCTCAGTTGTGCATGTGTTTGCCGGTCATGGAAAGATTTGATCAGAAGTCAAGAATTCATCTCTAAACACCTCCATTTTAAACTTGAGAGTGAAGGTCATAATTCATGCCTTCTTGTGCATAGCTACTACCATAACCCTGGGCAAGCAATATTCACATTTTATGAAGAGAATAGTCACTCTATGGATATACTTACTAAGTTAAACTCCCCTTTCAGACTTAGAAACAAACGTTTTCAAATTGTTGGTACTTGCAATGGTCTATTATGCCTTTGTGATAATTATCGCAGATGTTATGATAATGTGATTGTTTGGAATCCACTCGTGGGAAAATCTATATACTTTCCACGACCAAACATTACTTGCTATTCACGCAAGTACAATGCTCATCGATTTGGGTTCGGTTATGATTCAATTGAGAATGATTATAAAGTGGTTAGTATTATATGCAGGGAGAGTACTGGGAATGTGGTTGAGATTTTAAAGCTAAGCACACGCACATGGGAGAACATAAGTGACAGAGTACTTGGACATTTTAATTTCTTGACCGATGGCCAAGTATATCTAAATGGGTCGCTTCATTGGATTGGAAAGGTTTTGACTCTTCACAACATTATTATTACAAGAATTGTGTTATTTGATGTGCACGAGGAGAGATTCCATGAGATGGAGTTACCTGAAACTTTGGCTACACATCCTCATAATATCAAGGTTGCGATATACATGGGATCACTAGCTATTGTTGTGAATGACGCTGATAATTTTTCTATATGGACAATGACAGAATATGGTAATGTGGAGACTTGGAACAGACAAATTTGCATTTCTTGTTCTTTGATCAAATGGCTTTATTGTGGATTTACAAGGAATGGTGGGATTTTAAGTACAAGGGCGAATTGGGATTTGTGTATTTTTAACCCCATAACACATCCATTCAACATATTCAGACAATATGTATTGTCAATTGGTCAATTATGTTATCCATTCTACGCAACTCCTTACGTGGAAAGTTTAGTTTTCATTGATAAGGGTCTTGAATTTTCTGATAGTGTCACTGCAGATGAACTTATTGCAGCAAATCGGAGGACAAATTCATACCGTGTAAGATTTTGGTGTTAAATTTGATGTTATTATTATTTTAGTGAAAATGCGAATCCATCCATTTAGATTATACAAAATATTTGAATGATTCATACATTATGAAAATTCATGGATCAATTCTATTTTATGTGCAGGTGCTTGATATACTTTGAATATAAATTTCATGTTGGAGATTTTAAATTTTTCTCAAGAAGAAAATTGGCTGTAGCTTGATTGTTTGTATAAGTCTCAATAATCTTTTTTTTTTTAATCAAAAGGAGGGGATACCCAAACCAAACTAGTGGTCTCTATTGCCTCTATCTCTCACGTGGTGGGTTCTGCGCATGGCCATAGCTCCGATCTGGTCTTGAGCAATGAGGTCCCAGACGGCTGGAGGGGGCTCCGCGAGGTATTAAAATCCTATCTGGTGCAGCAAAGCGGTTGTTGCCAATTTGTCCGCTACCTTGTTCTGTTCTCGATACGTGTGTTTATAAACAATCTCTTCCAAAGCATCAGCTTCTCGCAAACATTGTCGTATAACGTTGTTGCCTTTTATGTTCTCGTATGATCTCTTCCTGAGGATGTCAAATGTTAACCCTTTAATGGAATTCTCTTATGTTTTTATTTTCCCATATATATATATATATATATATATATATATATATATATATATATATATATATATATATATATATATATATATATATATATATATATATATATATAATTTTGATTAAGGCCAATGCTACTCAATGATATATTTGAAATTGGAGAAATGATCGATGATTATTACTTCAAATGACTAAGAAAAGTTAGGAAACAATTCAAGTGAGAGGGTGTGTAAAAAGAAGTAAACTGCACTAGAAAAAATTACATGTTAAAGATTTGATTAGAAGAGATATAACTCTATCACCCTTTCAAAATTAAAATATTATTCTAGGAGGAGAAGAACTTAAATGCTTTTAGAGTGAATATGATATGAGGTTAATGTAACAAAAAGTAATACGTTATGAAAATAAACAAATGGAAAAATATGGATGGGCGTCGGTTCAGTTCGGGTGACGCCCAAATTTTATTTTGAATATCTAAACATTTCGGGTGATGTTTTTTTATTTTTTACACTCAATATCCGAACCAAATTTAATTCAGTTATATTTGGTTCGGGTGAAATTATTTCGAATTAGTTCGAATATATCTAAAAAAAAAACATCTTATCATATTTGAGTTTTTTTTTTTTTTTAAGTTTATTTTTTTTGTATTTATATTTTTCTATATACTATAAAACTAAAAATAAGACAAAATAGTAATTACTAATTAAGAGAATTTTGAGAATTAATATATTATTAATTATGAAATACATTTAAAATTAAATATATAATGTATATTATTATATTTATAATAAAATTTTGATCAGTTCGGATTTCGATCCGAATATTAATAAAATTTTAACACCCGATATTTAAACTAAATTTATATTTGGATATATCAAAATTAAAATGCCTGAACTAATAATTAACTTTTTTTAATACAATTAACTCTATTATCTATTATATATCTAAAAACATAATAAACTTCAATCCAGGTTATACCCTTGGGTTATGTCCATTTTTTCTGTTAAATTCTTTTGTACCTTATACTATAAAAGTAGTACTACATAATTTTTTGGACAAAAATATCCATGCAGTTATAACTTCTGTTATCTTTCTACATTATTACTACCATGTACATGCATACATAATATTATTTCTTACATCCTTCCATGGTAAGTTTGAATTCATTTAGGTTTTAATTAAAATGTTACCATAGTTATATTTAATAATTTATCATTTCTATAATTTTTACCTAAAAAATATTAATATGAATTATACAATTATATATATATATATATATATATATATATATATATATATATACACACACACACACACACAATTATTTGTTAAAAAAATTAATATAACTAAGATTTTAATATTGGGCATATATTTTTTACGCATCGCGCATATAAAATACTAGTATTATATTATAATACGAGTCAATAGACCAACCACTAAAGTTTGATCCTGTGACTTTCCTTTAAAAGAGGTCACAAGGTATCCTCTGAACACAAAGTGATTGGTAGAACCAATAATTATTTAGGTTCATTCAAACTTTAAAATTCAATTTAGATATCGGATAATCCAAATTATGCCCCATCCTATGGGAAAAAAAATACAGAAATGAGAAGCTGGAAACCCGGGAAATGAAGTATGTTGTCTAGTGTGGTTGGGCAATTTGGCAACGCGGGACAGCCTTTCCGATTCGGCGGAGATATTTTATTTTGTTCACAGAACCCAAAACCCTAAAACGTTATCCAGAAGGAAAAGCCCTCCGATTACTCGACAGTTATTTGCGTTCTGATCATAATTATTCTCCGTAATCACAATGTTTATGTGACAGAACCACCGCTAGTGAGGGAGGGGCGTGTGGGATTTTATTATTATCTCTTAACAAGCCACTCAAAAGCGAAAGAACAAGAAAGGGGTTTGAGAATTGAAGGAGAAAGGGGGTTTTCTTCTGCAAATGGCTTCTTCTTCCGCTATCAGCAGACCTTTTACAAGCTCGCCTTCTTTATGTTTCTCTAAACCCCAAATTCACAGCTCCCCGCTGTTGATTAGATTTCATGGCCCTCCTCCTCCTCCTCCTAATCATTTGGTGATTCGTTGTTGTTCCTCTGATTTGGGTCCCTCGCCCGACTCCTTTAACGGCAGGTACACCGCTGTGCTGCCTTTATTTCGCTCACTCTTCTTCGTTTAGTGCATATGGCAATTAGGGTTTAACAGATGGTGTTCATTATGTTGCAAGGCCTTCTTTTCCCCTGTTCAGAATCCTGAATTCAGTTTGAATGTCTAGGAAAGTTAGCCAAATGAGCGAACAAAACAACTTCAATTTGTTATCTTTTTTCTTGTAGGATATCATGTGGATTTTCTTGGTTATATGACAATAAAAGTTATAGTGCAGATTAGCTTTATCACTATCATCACAGTGATGCTCTGTCTTACAGGAAAGACACTTGCACCAGTGTGAAAAGCTTCCACACCATATACAGGAACGGGAAGACACACAACCTTAGAGACTTTTTTGAATTTTAACTCCAGACCACTATATCACGCCCAGTAATAAAATACCACTTGCACATTCTTATATTGAAATTTTCATGTAATCTTTTGGAGGGAAACAGAGGAGTGCTTTGAATAATTATTCAACCTAGAAGTGTTGTTTCTAATTCGGTTTTCCTCTTAAACTTACATTTCCTTGTGAAATCTCCATAACAAATAAACAAATCAAGTAATTTTTTGTTTTTTTTTTTTGTTTTTTTGTTTTTTTTTGTTTTTTTTTTTTGTTTTTTGTTTTTTGTTTTTTGTTTTTTGTTTTTTGTTTTTTTTTTTTAATTCTACTGAAGCTCTTGGGTAGTGTTTTATTCTCCTTAACTTCAATGGTCTCATGGTGGTTAGTTTCATGCATCATGCCATGTTCAATGCAAACACTACCATAATTGCAATTGAACATATCAAACTCCTTAAGCATCTTCTTAATATATTCTTATTTGAGAAAAACTTTAGCTTTTTCCTTAATAGTATTCTGTTGAAGTTAGAAGTCCAATTGGCCATTCCATACTTTTAGAGCTTTCTTCGAGTCATCTAAGAGTACAGTTTACTCCCTAGCCTTAACCATTTATTGGGCTTACGTAAAGTCTAGCTCTTTCTACTTTACTTTTGTTTGCAGATGTGCTACTTTCAATAATTTGGCGTTTGCTTGTTTCTCTTTGTGATAGGAAACACCAATTTTCTTCCATGGCTCCTTTTGGTGTCGGAATGGATGATGATGCCATGTCCAAACCATCATTTAAATGGCGTAGAGTTTTGCTTAAAGTAAGTGGTGAAGCACTAGCGGGAGATCAATCACAAAATATTGACCCAAAGGTTAGATGAAGAGTTCTCTCATTCTCTGTGCTTTGCTCACATTATAGTGCTTTTTAAATCCATAATGCATCTGAAAGTCCAACTTTGCCCGAAGATTTTAACAATTTGGACTACTCCATTGTTATTCAGATCACAATGGCTATAGCAAGGGAGGTTGCAACTGTTACTCGACTTGGCTTTGAGGTAAATTTGTAAACATTTTTATCCCTTTTTTGCTTATGTCATGGTTTTGCAGTTACAAATTTGATAGTTTACATATCTATTCTGAATCTCGGGAAATTGAGTAAAATAATTTTAAATGGTTTACTCTAAACTTCAAAAGCTATTGAATATTTCCAAGGTTATAAAACTAAATTATAATTTACTAATTCTGTGTTTGCTTCATATTGCAGTCTGATTTTTTTCACTTTTCTTTTCCTTTTTTATTCACGTAATTAGTTCCCACCCTTTTTGTACCAAGTCTCTTTCTGAATTGCTAGTGTAAATGTTTCAGGTTGCAATAGTGGTTGGTGGAGGAAATATTTTTCGTGGATCATCTTGGGCTGGATGTAGTGGTCTTGATCGCTCATCTGCTGATTATATTGGGTATTTTTTCAAGATTGATTACTTTTTCTTGCTTCCCAATTTAATTGGCCTATCAATCCATGCTGTGCATACTGCATTTATTCATGTTTGAAGAGTAAAAGAAAGAATAAGGCTGATTATGTTTAAATATTTTATTTAAAGCAAAAATTGATACAGGACTAAAAACATTAAAGCACACAGTCAAAACCATACATCTTTTGCACAAGATTTAGTGTGAAGAAGATTTCAGGAAGTAAGTTCAGCTATGGGCCTATGGTCATCTAGGATTTTTTTTTTTTTTTTAAAAGGGAATAAATTTTTGCTATCCAATCCTCCTATCCGATTTTTTTACCTTTGGATAGGATAGGGTTTTTTAACCCTCAATATCCTAATACTATAAGATATAGTTATGCATTTCCATCTTCCAGCTTAGGGTACTTAATACTTCCACTGCATCTAATCCTTTGGGTGGTGGGGTGTTTGGGTGGTTTTTTGTCAAAGTCAAAATGGGTTTCTTCAACTCCCTTGAAATTAAATATTGGTTATATTGGGGCCTTGGGGGGTGTCAAAACAATTTGGAAAGTACAATTTATTTGACTGGGTCAAAATTTTAATTATTTTGTTATACTAAAATTTAATTATTTATAAAAATTAAGATTTGAATATTATAAAAAAAAAACATATATATATATATATATATATATATATATATATATATATATATATATATATGATATATTGATTGAGTTGAATTTCATATAATCCATTGTTATCTTGTTTGCAACCTGCATTTTACCTCTTCTACGAGCACGTTAAATTTCAAGCGTCCAAATTGATCAATAATATAAAATGTGCAGTTTGGGTGGGCTGAAATTTAAATTGCCCAAATTGTCACCTTTTACTTCCATCACGTCTAAGCTTTGGCTTTCCAAAATGGCCCCAGATTGGCCAGAAATCAGTGACTCAACATGATTTCTATTATTAGTTGATGTAATTTTGAATCTAATTTTGGCTGCATATTGCAGTAGTTATTTGCCAGTAAATTATAATGGCTGTAATGGTTGACATAAACTTTATCACCTCATCTTGGTTGTGGTCTTGTGGGTGAGTTGAAGGTGTTGGTGTCATGAATATAGTGTGACAAATAAAAGGGGTCATTTCAATAAGTTTTTTCAGTCCTTGGTACTTGACAATGTTCTTGTTATCTCATTATTCAGGATGTTAGCAACTGTTATGAATGCAATTTTTTTGCAAGCAACAATGGAAAGCATTGGGATCCCAACGAGAGTCCAGACTGCATTTCGAATGTCAGAAGTTGCTGAACCTTATATACGCAGAAGAGCTGTCAGGCATCTTGAGAAGGGAAGAGTCGTCATTTTTGCTGCAGGAACTGGAAATCCCTTCTTCACAACGGATACTGCTGCAGCACTTCGCTGTGCTGAGAGTGAGTTGAATTCTTATATACAGTTTGCTGAAATATTTTTTCAAACGAAGTTTCTAGTTTTAAGACGCATAATTCTCATGCACATCTGCTTCCTAATTCTAACTTGTATTCACGTTTTGGATATTGTAAAGTAAATGCTGAGGTGGTGTTGAAAGCAACAAACGTTGATGGTGTTTACGATGATGACCCTAAGCGAAATCCCAACGCTCATCTTCAAGACTGTCTAAGTTACCAAGACGTAACCTCGAAGGATCTTAACGTAATGGACATGACTGCAATCACGCTGTGCCAAGAGAACAACATTCCTAGTAAAAAATCTTCCAACATTTCCCTTCTTCATTAAACACCATTCAGATTCGAGATATTCCTCCTCCCTCTTCAAAACTGACATGAGAACTAACTGCTTTAACCTTTGCTCTACTCAGTTGTCGTCTTTAACCTCAACAAACCGGGTAACATTGCTAAAGCCATTAAAGGCGAAAGAGTTGGTACATTGATTGGGGGCACATGGAATTCTGAAGCAGCAATGGCATAGACTCTTCTCTCAACACTAATTTGGTTGGCTGGAGTTTTGCTTACAAAGTTGCAGGTAGGCCAAGGGATGGGTGAGTGGAAATAGTCATTTCTATCTATTTCTGTCACTTTTCAGAAATCTGTCTTATCCTCATCTCTCAACATTGTTGACTCATAGATATAATGGAAAAGTAAGGTTGCAGCATTCATTAATGGTGGAATTGGTTATTGTTCCATTTTATCTTCTCTAGGACTTGGATTTTGTTGTGCATGATATATAAAATATTATAAATGTGCAGTTCATCTATCAGCTTAACCTTTTAGTCAACTTGGGGGGTGTGATTGAGCGGAAGGGACTCATCCATCCTTAATTAAAGGTCAAGGGTTTGATCTTTGACTTTAGGTATAGAACAGTCTTAAATCTCTAGGTCAGTTGTCTCATCCAAAAGAGGTGTTTACAATTCAGTGATGGGATTAGTCACTATATTCGACGGAGAAATTCTTGAGTACACCTAAAAAAAAAAACTTAACCTTTTAGTTGAGTGGACCCCAATAAAATTTTTATAATGATTTTGATATCGGCTCCGTCAGACTGAATTCTTTGACTTGTCTACTAAACTGAGGTTGGAGCAAGGACCGGACATAACACAGTTGTTGACTAACAGACGTTAGTCAAGCGTCAAACCTTTGTTGGAGGTTGACTACGACTGCGTTTTTTTAAGAAAGTTGACCAAGATTATGTGGTGCCGATATTATCAAGTCAGAAGTATAAAATCGGACCTCACTATTGTCAATCGTGCTAGTTTTTATTTTTTTATTTTTTTTAGTTTCTCAATTTTGACGAATTATATTTTAGACTCTATGAACTCGCATCATAAATGGTTTATTTTAGATTCAAATTTAAACCCTAATATTCACAGTAAATATTGAACTTTTACTGTTGTTGGAAATATGTTTAGAGCGAATTTTCTCATTAATAAACCAATGTGTTGAGGGGCGCAATGGTGTTTTCATGATTTGTGATGGTGTGATGAGAGGTGCATTATGACTAACAGTAGCAGTCAATAATAGCAGCTGAGAGCTGTTGTACTGCGATATGCTACAGAAAAGAGAAGACTTCCAAAAGTCAGATTGATTTTTTTTGGGAGAATTGTATTTTTGGGTCTTTAGGTTTTACTTGAATCTTCATTTCATTCCTAGTTGTTTCAATTGTGCTTATATATTGAATTTCAAATGATATTTCGTTCCTCTTCTCCCAAAATGTTGAATTTTCAACCACGGGAGGGCCAGCAGACAATGCAAAAGGGATCTGCCTACTTTAAGCATAATCCTTATACTGTCGTTGTCGAGATTCAAACTTTGCTCTCTTCTCCTAAATGCTGTCTACTAAGCCAGTGAGCTAAGTCCGTGCGGGTATGATATTGCGGTCTTAGTTATAGTAATAATGTGTTGTTATAAATAGTGCAAACACGAGTGCACTATTAGAGATTCTAAGTACATGATCAGCTATCCGTTGATATAATATTAAGTATTTTTAAATGCATTGTTGTAATTATGAAAATTTAATTGCGTTTTTCTTTTTAATTTTCAACTTTATAATCTTAAATGGAAAAATAAATCATCGTACATTTTCACGAGACTACTCCGGAACCCATGTATATAAATAACTGATTTTAAAAAAAAATATAAACTTATAGTGACATGTCAATCAATAATTGATACAACCCTTGGTAAATTTCTTTGTCAAACTTTATTTTAAATGAAATTTAGTCTTATCATGAATTCATGATGGAATAAGGCCAAAGTGATCCTTAAAATACGAAAATCCTTAGGGGAGTAAATAAGGGAATTTGTCTGCATCCTCAATTTCATTGATTGGATGAAAATAAATATATTATAAAAACTCTTAATACAAATAATTATGAAGTAAATTGAATTGCATGTAATATTTCGAGTACACAATGTTCATAACTACTTTCTCAATCTATTGAAATACAAAAGGTCAATATTGCTCTCATTTAGATTCAAACTTATGCCCTTCTATTTGAGAGAGTCACTTTATGCCACTAGATCAGATGATTATTAGACTAATACAATGAATTGCATGTAATATAATATCTTAAAATACAGTTAAAATCATACAATAATGGACTAAGTACAAATCTTCAATTGCACTAACCAATAAGATCACAAGAACCACCCACATTATTGCCCTAGTTGCTCCACCACCAATACCACAGAAAGTGACTACAATAAATAAATAAATAAATAAATAAAAATAAAACAAAAAGCAGAACCCCTTCCCCCACGGCATTGGACTTTGGCTTCACATTTGCTTTGCCAATGAAATGAGATTTTTCTTAATTAAAAAAATACACCACATATTAAAAGTTACATTTAAATAAATAAATAAAAAGTTATTTCAAAAAAATAATAATAATAAGTAAAAACTTTGCTTAAAGAAATAAAATTGAGAAATTTTTTTCCATCTATTTATTAATTAAAGTAAAAACTAATAAAATCAGAGCTTGCTGGCCTAATACTAGATCAGTTAATTACAGTAAAAATTTGATAACAATTCTTTGCAAAAGAATTTACTCCATTGCACTCCGACGACCGGAGAAAACAAAAATTTTCTTGTTTTTTCCGGTCAAAAGTCAAAGAATGGATTGAAAATATCAAGCGAGGAAGGAGATGGAGAAATCAGTGGAGCTGAGAACAACGACGATGGGCTCATACTCCACATGTTGTTGATAAACATCAACGGGTCCGACGCCGGAGAGAATAGTCCCGGCGGCGAGATGGGCAGCAAGCTTGTCGGCGCCGGCGATAATATTCCCGGAATCTGACCCATTTCCACCGTAGAATTTCCGACGATTTCTACAACATCAGTCGCGTCAAAAGCTGCCATTTCCGTTGTCTGCCTCTCCCGCTCCCTCTCCGACGGACTCGTTTTCTCTATGGACGCCAGCCTCGCCGCCGGGGACAGGGCGCCGGATCCGCCGGCTGCGGCGGAGGACTCGAAGGAAGGCCCGGTGAGGCGCTGCACCACGTTCATGAAGTCACTGACGGTGGTGTGGATGACTTTGGGAGACACGGCGTAGATAATCACCGGCTGGGGATTCTGGGCGGCGGGCGGCGGCGGCGCCGTTCGCAGCAGAGCGGCGGCCGGTGGGTGCGGCGCAACCGGCGGCTTCTTGATCTTGTGGGAGTCCTTGTTGACCCGGAGCGGAGTGGGACGTGGACCTTGAAGCTCTCTCCTCGTCGGCGACGGCCTTTCCCCGAAGCCGAAGCCGAAGGGATACTCCGGTGGGAAGGAATCCATGACCGGAAAACGGAGATGTTGAGATGATGATGATTGATGAGAGGTTGGGGAAAGGGGAAGAGAGCTGTGAAATGAATTCAATAATATATAGTGGCCCCCTTTATATTATATTTCTATATAGTGGAATTTCCATTTTTCTTATTTTATTTTTGTGAAAATTTAGGATTCTTTTGCATTACGTTGATTACAAAAGTCTCCCTTGTAATATTCGACAATCGCAACCTGCTCCCACACACATATATATATATATATATATATATATATATATATATATATATATATATATATATATATAGGCTTCGAATCCAGTGAGACCCCTATGTTAAATGAGATGATGAGATCTCATCATACCCATTAATAGATTCCCAATGGATGGATGAGATTGAATGAAAAATATAAAGTAATTAAGGATAGTTTTAAATATGAAGGATAAAAAAGTAATTGGAGTATTGTATTTATTTTTGGCTATAATTAAATTGATATCATTACCTTAATATTAGGTGCTATATGAATGTAAAGAACTACTAGTAAATTGTTTACAAAGCTAGATAAGAGTTTGAATACGTAAGAAGGTCTGGAAACTAGAAAAGATCAAAGCTGACGTATGGATACAAGCCAACTTGGTATATGCATTCTAAATATTTGTTAATATTATTTTGAACAAATCTGTTTGCGTGTATATGCTTAGGCGTGTGCAAAAGTTATGGATGTGGGGGTTCCAATTTTTTTTTTCTTTTTTTCAAGAAATAATGGTGTCGGGATGTTTGTAAAGAACAACAGTATAAGAGTTGTACATTTTTGTTTTATTTGAGCACAAGACTTGATATTCATGGTGGTCTGTGCGAGTCTGTAGCAAGGCGTATGCGTACTGTACAATTGGGTGCGTTGCAAATGTTTTTTTCGTTTATTCTTTTGTAATTGTAGAAATATATTAGGTGTGTGCTTCAACAATTTGTTTATGTTTTTTTGAACAACCTTATGTGGGAGTATATGCTATAGTGTGTGTGTAAATTTATGTGCTTATGTTATATTTTAGTTTTGATTTTGCTCAAACAACACTGGTATTTGCTTTCTAATTATTTCTTTATGTTATTTTGAACAACCCTATGTGCAAGTTTATGCTAAAGCGTGTGCAAATGTTACAGATGGTGTATGTGTTTATTTTGTATACCCTAGAAATTATGATGTTGGAATGTTTGTTAAGAGCAACAGTATAAGGGTAGTATATGTTTTTTTTTTTTTTTTTGGGAACAAGAGTTGAAATTGCTGGTGGTTTTTGCGAGTTTGTATGTAGGCGTGTGCATATTACGGTATTTCGCACAAGCCAGAATATTGCCACGCACGGACCTGTATAAACTTTCGGCTATGCACCCCGAAAATCAAAATAATATTTAGAACCACAGTAAAATGCACACGCCTACACACAATTATGCACACATTTTCGTAAAAAAATCACACAATCAATTATTTTGCATTCTTGTACTAAAATGAATTTAGAAAAACGTGAAAAATTCATGCTCCCTCTAAGTAACAAAATATTCTTAATCAAACACAATACTGATGTTCGTCTACGCACACACAACCATAATCTTACATTCCAAGAACACCAAAAAATAAAAAATAAAAAATCCCGAATTAGAAATATTGCCAAGTCATCTGCATCAAGGCCATCATCCGAAGCCGGGTCAACTTGGGCAGGATGAGGGGGATTCAACATCATCGACCGGTGGCATAGGTACCACCACATATATTGTGTCTACAACATTATCACCTGGTAATACCAAAAAATCAAGGCACAATTAAGTGCACACGCCAGAACACTGCACTGCACACGCCAAATAAAAAAAAAATGCTGCAAAATCACAAGCATGATAATACGCACACGCCAGAACACTGCACTGCACATGCCAAAAAACCAAAAAAAAAAAAAAAATACACAATCGCAAAGACTATGTGTAGTATATTCTACCGACAAGAACATTACAAAAAAAAAACCCACAGTTTATATATATGTATGTACATTTTTATAAAAACCAATATGAATTATCGCACACACCTATTAACAACGCACTGAGAGATTACATTTTAAAACAAACCAGTAAAACAAACATGAATATTCTAATAGGCAAACTGTACTTAGAATAAATTTGTTAATAAAGAACACCAATGAAAAGAAGTAGATCAACAACCAAAAAAAACGACATAAAATAACTACTATTTTTGTTAAAAAAAAAAAATAATGCAAGATCTCTCTCACCGTAATTCGCACACGCATTAAGACTGTACTGCATACAACATTATTAGAATACTTCTTGAAAGAAACCAATAAAACCTACATGAAGAATCACAAAGACAAGGTTCACTTAGGCTTATTTAAAAAAACAAATAAATCCAACAAACAAAATGAAGTCACCCACATCAAACAATTTTTTAAAAAAACGAAAATACAAAAAGTCCATCGCACAGTTAAGCGCACACGCCATACCACACGTATGCACACCTCATCATCATCTACATTGTACTATCTTCATGCTAAGGGCATTTGACTGGAATTCTTCTTACAAATAAGGAAATGAGATAAAGTTGAACAGAGTGAAGAGATACCATTATTTCTTTTCCATTTATCATGAAATTGGTGTGCATTATGTGTTTATGGGTTTGCTTTATGCTTTCAACTTAGTTTTGATTTCCTAAACAATAACATTCCTTGTTGTCTGCAATCCACTCAGACCATCTAACATAGCTTTAGAATTTTCGACTTCTGATAATTAAACTATATTTTAGAAGCATATTATTCCAGAGTTCAATATATATTTATTTCATTTACATCATGTCCTAAAAAACTAACACTTAGAATGGAAAAAGTAGAAATCATTCCTTTCCATAAACCAACAAATATAGTAAATGACCATCGTATTAAAATTTCAACTTACTCATCTCATTAAAATATCTAAGGATATTACTTGACTAACACTTTTTTCTTTATCTAGTATATATATCAAAAGATAATTAAAGTATCTATTCAATGTATTGAAAAGAATTTTACAAAGGAGATGAAAAAATAAAACAGTTCAAAAATAAATTTGTGAAGAGAATGGGAAAAGAGTATAAAATTTTCATTATTAAAATCATAAAGCATTGGTTTATTCAAAGGTAAAGTGTTAAAGCAATTTATTATTTCATTTGTAGGACTATTAGAGCCAAAAAAAAAAAAAAAAATGAAAGAATACAATAATAAGAGTAATAAAAAATGGGGGTTTTTTTTTTTTTTTTTTTTTTTGTAAACCTCTTCTTCTTGATAAATCAGGAAATTTAGTGTTCAGGGAAATACCTCAAAATGATAACAAGAAAAACAAATATAAGAATAAAGGCTGCCAAAATATCAATGCTGAGAATGTTTAAATGAGTTAACAAACTTTCATATTTCAACCCATTGTCTTACTTCTTAATCCAAACATTTTGGAGGTGATTGAATACTGATTACTAAAAAATTACCAGTTCAAACTCCTTTAGCAACAAGTACAAACCCACCTGTAAAAGCTCCAATGACAAAGCACATGTTTTAGTTGTAAGTTCATCATTCTTGTCCTTTATAGCCATCTGCAAATGCAGCATACTCAGAAAAAGGCTCATAATTGGAGCATTTAACTACAAATTAACACCAAAAAAAAAAAAAAAAAAAAAAAAAAACACCCCCAGTAAACCCGCATACCCCCCCTCCCCACCGGCAACAAAAAGAACCGCCACACCCAAAAGTATTAACCCGCCTAACCCCCCAGGAAAAAAAAATAAAATAAAATTAAAAAAAATGCCCCTAAACCCCTAAAAACGGAGCAAATCACCCCCCCAAGCAACACAGCCCCCCCCCCCCCCGCCGCCGCCCACATACAACAAGCCACCGACCCCATATGCACAAGCCAAACCGAACACACACACACAGCAGATGGGAAACCTGGAATGCGAGCAGAAGAACCACGCCTCGGACGCTTGGATTGGCGTGATGAAGACCCTGCCATTCTCGTCGTCGGAGATTGTGTTGGAGGAGTGAGTGCCGTCAACCGAAGGCAGCAGGAGCGACACCGGAGACGCGAAGAAGAACAATTGGGAGAGGAACGGACGGACACGGCAATAGAAGAGAGGAACGGACGGACACGAAAAGTAATATATATTTAATCAACACATAAAATACCATAATTAGTGGTGTTTAAGCCCATAAAATCTGCTATCAATTATTACACCCTAATAAAGACACCATCAAAAAGACAACAACACCCCCATATGCACAAACATCAGCCGCACGTGGCTCCCAAATCAGACTAATCTCATCCATCCAAAAAAATAAATAAACGTACCAGATCAAGCCTCACCACCTTGCCTGCCAAAGGTAACCTCACCAGATTCAATATCTATATATATATATATATATATATATATATATATATATATATATATATATATATATATATTGATGGATATATTATACCCACGATCCGACCCGAGGTAGCAACATGGATCCGAAGCATCTTGGTGGAGCCCAAGAGCAACACAGACCCAGGGGACCACGGAGGTGCCCAAGAGCAGCGCGGACCCGGAGCACCATGGAGGTGCCCCGACCCGAGCCGACCTACGTGGAGCTCGGTCCTACCTGAGCTCGGCACCACCCGGGCTCGGGACCTGACCCGACCCGGTCCACCCGGGCCCGGTCAAACTTGAGATCTAACCAACCCCGATTTAAGAGGAGGCTGTTGGGGGTTAGCTTGTATAAAAACCCCCTCCTTGTCCTAACAAAGGGCGATTCATTACATATTACACACTTTGTCCTATCGAATCTTTGTAATAGCCAAATACTACGGCAATTAATATAATATACGGTCCCCAGCGACCTTTACGACATCGTTCTATATTATTCGCTTATTATTCTTGATAAGTTATATACCCCGGGTCCGTGTACAGCCGGGTCGGGGTCTCGCGGTTCGGGTTTTGACCTGCGGGTCGGGGTCAAAGGTGACGGGTCAAACCCGAGATGGGTCAAACCCGCCACCTTAGGCCTATAAAAGGGCTTCTAGCCCTCTAAGTGAGGGGGCTTTTTCCCATTTGGAGCCATGAGCTCTTTCTCTCTCGGCTCCTTC